CATGAATCCCTTCTTAGGCTCTGGAAAGGTAACGTCAAAGTGTTGACCTGCCCTCTGCCAGAAAAGGTGCCCCTCCCAGCCCGTGTGACTACCTGACTGGTACATGGGCTCTCGCGGGCAGCGCCGAATGCTTCAGCGTTGCTCTACAGGCTTAACCCAAAACTCGAAGCCCCAAGTGCTCAACCCTGCATACATAGAGGCACAGGATAAGTATAAATCAGTCATAAGCTATCAAAGTAGAGTGTAGACATGACTCGTTTCTTGCTCAAAACCATATCAGGGGACTAAGCGGACTTGTAACTCAGATAAGAGTACAGGTACAAGTACGCTATGATTGCCCTGAACATCCAAGTACCAGCTGTCCATGTTGGTCCTCCTGGAGTTCAGAGGAAAACTGAGTCGCCCGCGGCCTGGTAGAATGAGTTCAAGATTCCAGACTCGGGCTTACCACAGGCTTAAGTACCTCCATAGTATATACATATGCCCCAAAGCACCGAAATACAAACCCGGTTGGTCTCAAGTATCTACTAGTATATAGCTATCTGGACCTTTTGAGTTCAGCGTTTGTTTTTGTTTATGACGCACTGTAATGCAGCAGCCTATCCCGTGCAGCCAGGACATGTTAGGCTGGAAGGAAGAAAGCTCAAACAAGTGCAAACAACCCGACATCCTGCTGCATTCACCACCGGCTCCTGTTCCTGACCCACTGGTATTCAGGTTCTTCTTACAATTACAGGACCCCACCAAAAAAGCTTCAACATGTTTAAAGCCACTCACCAAGAACAGCACAACGATTTTGAGATTCATGGTTTGTCAAACCTGGGGTTATAGCAAGGCCAGCTTTGCTCTAACCTTGCGGACTAAATTCTCTTTCCGAAGCACACACAGACACACACTTATAGTCCCCCCTAATTAGATAGAATATGGGGTATATGGGGATCCTATTATAATATACCCAATGCCATATTCTATCTAAAGGGGGACTATATAACTTTCTAGGAATCTTCACGTACTCTGCAGCCCAGGCACCCGAAGAAGCTGATGAGCAAGTGCGACAGGCGGTCGGCAGGAAGGGTCCTGAAAAACGCCCCAGTCGAGCCCTACATGGTCCCATAGAGGTAATATTTACATACTTTTAGGGCACAAGTGAATTGCTTCAGGACAGCCGGAAACTGACAAATTTCACTTTGGGAGCAATCTTGCAGAGTATCTGTCCTTAGTGTAGCCTTAGTGAAGCCTATGAACCTTGATTGGCCTGAAAGGGAGCCTCTAACCCTATACATCTTAAAGCCCGAAGACCCACCTACAACAAACCTGAAACCCGAGCCCTCTCCCCTCCCCTGCCCTTTCTGACTTACATATCCCGGCTCCTGTCATCCTGTCCCTTGCCAGATCCAGGTGAAGATGACTGCTCCACAAAGGCCGCTGTGAGCTCCTACAATAGCGCGAAGGACCCTGTCATTGACAGACCCAGGTAGGGTCCTTTTTGTAAGAACTTAACTGGGGTACCCAAAACCGTTTTGTGGAGATTTTCGGAGAAGAGAGAGGGCAGGCCGTGAGGGAACCTATCAAAGATTTTACACGCGTCTCACATGTCCTACATCCCAAGCACAGGCGCCATCGCTTGTTCTTGAAATCTTGACCATCTTAGGACCTGTTGCAATAAAGTTGCATCAGGGACGCCGAGCGACTATGCTTGTAGTTAAGGGAAGCACATACCCTGAGGCTCTACGTCTATTCCTAATGTCTACCTCAGGCCCCAACATCTATGAATCTTGCCTAAATTGGGCCACTTGGAGCCTTTGAAATACGAAGCGTATGGTCAGGTTCAGGATGCCTAGCTTAACCCCATGTCGCCAGCCTTTTTCTAGGTGTGGTGTTAGGGCTTAGGGTATCCCCCTAAACTCCAACCTTCAACCCTATGATGTAGGGCATGCCAGGATGCTCTACCCAACTTATCTCACCATCAGTATGAAGGACCTCTAGACACTAAATCCCATGTAGCCCCGGTGTCCCTGTTTATTATCCACAATACGTGCTTAAGCCAGCTTAGGGTTTGGGGTTTATTTGAAGCCGAAAGTCAGGGTAGTCAGGGCCCTACTGTTGTGCGGATTCATGCGCTACCCCTAGTTCAGCACCCCCCCACCCCAGTAGTGCTGAGCCTTACCAACATGCTATACCACAATGGGAACATATTATGATATAAGCCCTAAACCCTGAGCCCTAAACCCTTAAGCCCTAAACCCTAAAACCCGATGGGGAGGGGACTATTATCCAGCAGCGCGCGCCCTCTCAGTGCCTGTAGCTCATCCAGCGTGAAGCCCTCGGAGTGCCTTTGGTGAGTTTAGGGTTTAGGGTTTAAGGTTTAGGGCTTAGGGTTTTCCGGATTGGGGTTTAGGACAAAAAAACTCCCGGATGAGACTTTGGACCCAAAATAACCATCATGCCATGGGCATAGGCACTACTAACGGTGTATGACCTAAGTCACGGCGGGATCCTGGTGCTAGGATGCGAAGGCTGCGAATGAATCGTGCGCTTCATCAGTTTCTACGGCGATCATTGAGGGCAGTGAGCGGAAGTGACCTAAAGAAGCAGTATAGGAGTTGAGTGCTTAGTGTGCATGTGTAACCACATCTACCTGGGAGTCTTAGTTCAGGAGTTTGGGATCTGTCAAACAACTATTGATAACAGTTCTGGGCACAGACATCATCATGTTGCGCAGCGGCTCTGGTTTCTGCACATGCTCCATCCCCACTCAACCAACCAATGCATCCTTCACATGCATTTGAGTGGTTAATTTGACGAAAATGCTGCAGATACCACTATTTCAATAAGGTTATAGTGCGCTTAAGGTTCCTTAGGAATCTTGATGAGTGTTCTGGAAAATGCTTTTGGGGAGATCATTGGATAAATAATCACCCCTGTCCAAATCGTGCTTGTGCAGCCTAAAACAGAAGCCAACATCTTCGCTTCTTGTTTGTTAGTGAGGAATAAGGGAATATAATCCCTATGTCATATACATATATATATATATATTTATGTATGTCTGTCTCTATCTCTCTCTCTCTCTCTCTCTCTCTCTCGTGTTCCCTACTCACCACCAGTCAAGGGGGGCATTGTGCCTGTACACATGCATGAGGATCACAGTCTCCTCGAAGTCCAACACTCCGTTACCATCCTCAGATTTAGGGTGTTTTGGGTTTAGGGATAAGGATTAAGGTTTAGGGTATAGAACCCTAGGGTTTAAGATTTGGGGCTTAGAGTCCAGGGTTTAGGATTTTGGGGTTTAGGGTTTAAGGTTCGGGGTTTAGAGTCCAGGATATGGAATAGGATTTTGGGGTTTAGGGTTCAGGGTTTAAGCGGTAGGGTTTAGTGTTTTAGGGCTTCGCACTCCCTAATTAGGGATTGATGGGAGGTCACCAAGAGTATGGTTCTTTTTGGGTACCCTTATATTAGGGGCCGCATTGTACTGGGGTCCCAAACAATAATTTTGGCAACCTACCAGATGTTTTCTATGCTGAACTTGAAGCCCTAGCTAAACCCTAAACCCTTAACCCTAAATTCCTAAATCTTAGGATTACAAAAAACAAGAAGACAAATGTCGAAGTACCCCTTGGGAATGCAGAAGGATTATGGGCCGTAAGGCCTTCGAGTTGTTGCTTCCAAAGCGAAGAGGGGCCCCATGTGGGTGGTTGTCAAAATTATGGTCCCTTTTGGGGTACCCTAAATATTAGGTGCCGTACTATAATAGGGGATCCACAAAGGGACCATAATTTTGACAACCACCCATGTGAGCCCTGGGCTAAATTTGTAGTTACGCGGACTGAAGTAGTCGGTCATTCGAAGGGTGAGACCGCCAGGTGGGTACTGGCGCGAGTAAACAGGAAATAGGCTACAGTAATTAGTAGAGG